TTTTTTTACAGTATCTGATTGAGTTCTGCTGCTTACGCAGGCAATGCCATGGTCTTGGAGGCTGACGTCACTGTAGAAGGGCTCAACACAGCCAACGAGACAGGCGTCCCTGTCATGGCACACCCCCCAGCCATCTACAGCGACAACACGCTGCAGCAGTGGCTGGACGCCGTGCTGTCCTCTTCCCAGAAAGGTAAGGGCCCCTCTGGGACCCCTCAGTCCTCTGTCCCTCAGGCGGCATGTGCAGAGATCCCGCCCTGGGAAGCAAGTCCCCACACGAGGTGCTCGCTGCCTTGGGTTTTCCGTCACAGTCTTACAGATGCCCAGGCTCAGCGAGGATGAAGTGAGATGGGGGGCGGCTCAGTGCCCATCCAGGTGTTCTCTCCGGGACACATAGGTGAGACGGGAGATATGTAAGTGCACATCCAGGTGTGCCCACCTGGACACACAGGTGAGATGGGGGCACTCTCCTGGACACACAGGTGAGACGAGGGATGCGTAAATACATGCCCAGGTGTTCTCTCCTGGATATACGGGGGAGACAGCAGACATGAAAGTGTAGAGTAAGCTGCAAAGGACCAAACACGCTCAGGTGTTCCCTCTTGGATCCACAAAACTGGACACAACACGTTCAAAGTTAAGCTCCAACCCCCTCCTACATGTCCCTTTGCCAATTAGTCAGAATCCAGGCACCATCCTAGCACCTTCCTGCCCCTCGACCGCACATCCACTCAGCTGCTGCATCTGCCACTTCTGACCCCTACCCTACCCCCATGCAGTCCCCGTCACACCACCTCTCTCCTGGACCTGCTTCCTCGCTGGCCGCCTGCCCCAAACTCAGCCCCTTGGTCTTCCCTCGACTACCGCGGCCATACACACACCTGAGCGAGCTTTCCAAAACACCTATTTGTCACTCCACGCCTCTGCTTTAACCCTCCATGGCTCCCCATTGTCCTCAGGACACAGAGTGATCTCCTTGGCCCAGCTTTCAACATCCCTCTCTAACTTTCCAGCCTCATCTCGCTACCCCAAAGAGGATGGGTCTTCGTTCACACCGGGTCCTCCTCTACGGAGATTGCCCTCCCTCCACTACCCTTCTGGAGGCCGAATGGCCTCTCTACAGGCTCTGGTGGCTTAGGACCCTCCCTGCCCTGTCCAGGACCTGAGCCCCTTGTCATCAGATGCTTGAGTCCCCGCTGCCCCAGCCCCAAAGCCAAGGCCTTGGCCGGCCTGTGCTGTGTCTCCTCAGGAGACAGGAACTCACTCCTAGAGCGGGCCCTTCTCTGGGTTCACTAGCCTGTTTGAAAGCCCATCCTCACACCCACCCTGTCTTCCCACCTTCCCCTCGCCCCCCGCCCCGCTCTCTCTGCCCAGGGAGTCACGTCTTCCCGGGTCCCTTGCCCCCTTCCCCGCAGGAATCAAGCTGGACTTCAAGAGCCTCAAGGCTGTGGGCCCCTCCCTGGACCTCCTGCGGCAGCTGACGGAGGCCGGCAGAGTCCGGAGGCCCGTGTGGATCAATGCTGACATCCTAAGGGGCCCCAACGTGCCTATCTCAACTGAGGTCGATGCCACGCAGTGAGTGTTCACCTCTCTGCCCCGGCTGCGTCCAGCCCTCTTTCATCAACATCTAGCACAGGAAGGGGACCTTAGGGACCTTCGAGTTTGCCTCTAGTCACATCGCACAGGCTCACCTCTGAGCCTTTGCACATATTGTTCCCTCTGCCTCAAATGCCTTTTCCTCCTCTTCTGAAGAACCTCTGCCCAGTCACTGCCTCCAGCATTGCTGAAAGGACTGCCCCTGGGCCCCTCACTCCGCCCCCCGCCCACCGGCTTCCTTCTACCACAGTCCTGATTTCTTTGGGCCGTCGCTGTCCAGTTACAGGTTTGTCATCCTGCCACACTGCGGAGAGGGCAGACGGGATCAAGTCCTCTCTGTATCCTCAGAGACTGGCCCAGGACCTGGCCTGCTAGAAGAGTCTAAAACATTGATTCCCTCCTCAGCCCTCCTGAAATTCCAGCACTGCCACGAACAGCCCTCACATGCACTAGCTGCACAGTACTCTACAGTTTACAAAGAAAGTCCACATACAAGGAGAGAATGTTTCTGATTTGATCCTTACATAGCACTGCCAGGTTAGGATTTTATTTATTTTATTTTTATTTTATTTTTTTTGAGAGAGAGTCTCACTCTGTCACCCAGGCTAGAGTGCAGTGACATCATCATAGCTCACCACAACCTCGAACTCCTGGGCTCAAGCGATCCTCCTGCCTCAGCCTCCCGGGTAGCTGGGACTACAGGCGTGTGTCACCAAGCCCAGCTAATTTTTCTGTTTTTTGTAGAGACGGGATCTCACTCTGGCTGGCCTCAAACCCCTAACCTCAAGCAATCCTCCCACCTTGGCCTCCCAGAGTGCTAGGATTACAAGTGTGAGCCACCACACCCAGCCTTCTTTTTTTATTTTAAAAATGCAGCTGTGCTTGGAGGGGTTAGGATTTTCTTCTCTCCATTTTGCAGATGATAAATCTGACAGTAATTGAAGCTCCATTTGTTGAATGGTTATTATGTGTCCCAGGTATTCTTTTAAGCACTTAACTTGCAGAACAGCATTTAAGTCTTACAATGAGAATGAGGTAGGTACTATTATTTTCGTTTTATTAGTACAGGAACTACCTTGTAGAAGTTACATGACTTGCCTAACTCTAGTAAGAGGCAGAGCAAAGATTCAAACCCAGGCCATCCTGAGTCTGTGCTCCAGGCTCTTTCCCCTCCACCTCTCCTCCCTCCATCCGTCTGCTAGTCCAGCCAGCCAACAACCCGTCTACCCAAAATGTACTGTGCTTCTCAAGCTGGGGTGCATTTGCAAAGCAGCAGCTTGAAAAATGTAGTCAATGGCCTGAGATAAATACAGCTTGTCTTCTTGGAGTGCTGATTGTACTTAATACTTTTTTTTAGGCGAGGGGGACATTATTTGCCTATTAAAATTAGTATCAGGGCAAAACTCAAATAAAATTTAAAAAGAATCTGAAATTTCAGAGACTCTCATAGCTGGCAGAGGCTGATTTCCACCCTCACCCCCCACACTGCCCCGGGGCAGGGCTCTGATTCGGTCCCCTTTGTCCACATGGGGAAGTGTAAGAAGGCCTGCCCCACTGGACGGGGTGCTGTCTTTGAGAATCAAGAGGTCGCGGGGCGAGTGAACTGCCCAAGGTCAGAGTCAGGGTCTGAACCTGGACCTCCCTGACTCCTAAGTCAATGCCCTATTTGTGGGGTCTTGAACAAGCCACTCTGTCTTTAGGACTCTGCTCAGACCTCGTATCACAGATTCAACAGGCCCTGCCACTTCCTAGCTCTGCGATGAGAACCAGGAGGAGAAGGGTTGCAGCTCCACGAGACCAGCATCTCTGATTCTCCACAGGTTCCTGGCCCTGGTTCAAGAGAAGTACCCTGAGGCCACCCTGTCTCCAGGCTGGACCACCCTCTACGTGCCCCTCTTCCCCAACAGGACGTACACCCGAGACATGGTGGAGAAAATGCAGGAGCTGGTGGGGGCACTGCCGCAGAGGGTCACCTTCCCCGTGCGGGCTGTCATGGCTCGGGCTGCCTGGCCCCACTTCAGCTGGCTGCTGGGCCAATCTGAGAGGTGAAGATCCCCAGGCTCCTGCCACAAGACCTGCGTGCTCCAAACCCGCTGCCACCCTGGAGCCACTGATGCCCCCAAATGCTCACGGCTAGAAGGGTCTTAAATATCATCTGGTCCAACCCCCACTGGTGCTCCTACCCTCTACAAGGTCCCTGCTTTCTGCTTGTATACCTCTGGTGACAGGCTGCTCGCTACCTCCTCAGAGAGCCCTGCTATTGGTGGGTAACCCTCTGTCCCTTGGAAAGTATACGGAGACAATTTGTCTCCCCACAGCTTCCTCCTGTAGGAGCCAGCTGTGCCCCGGGGCTGCACAGATTGTGCCTGCAACCCCTGCCCCAGGATAGCCCTACAGGGATCAAGAGACCCCCCTACTCCGCAGTCAGCTCCCAGCTGCCGGCCCTGCCTTCCTCAGCTGCTCCTCATAGGAGTCACAAGGCACCCCCTTCCCCCCTTCATGCCTGACCCCCTCAAGCCCTCCCCCTTCTATCCTTGTCCCTTTGCTAAGACAGGACTCAGAAATAAACCCTCCGAGTGAGAAGGCAGGCCAGGCCACCCCTCCCTCCTTCCTGGACTCCCTCTGGCTTCCTCTGCCCTCGGGGAGGGGTGGCTGGTGGGAGGCGGGAAGAAAGATGCTCTGCCCCTGGGTCCAGGTGAGGTCCAGTTCTGAACACAGGAGTGGGGCAGAGGGTCTTGCCGGGCCCAGATGGGCACTGAGCCTGCTCTCTGGGCCCCAGGTACAGCCTGACACTGTGGCAGGGCGACTCAGACCCCATGTCAGTGGACGATCTGCTCTACGTCCGGGACAACAGCGCGGCCCACCAAGTCTACTATGACCTCTTCGAGCCTGTGCTGTCGCAGTTCAAGCAGCTGGCCTGTAGGGAGGGAAGCTGGGGAGGGTGGCGTGGGCTGGATCTTGCACAGGGCAGCACTGGGTGGGCACTGGAGCAGGGCTGGGGGAAGGGACATGGGAAGGGGAAAATCCAGGGTGTCATGGGAGCAAGGAAGCATTCTGAGTCCCTACTGTGTGCCCGGCCCTGGTATGCTATGCTCGCCAAGCTTCGCATGCCCATGAGGCAGATTCCATTTTACACATAGGGAAACTGAGGCTCAGAGCGTTAAGGAATTTATATGTATTCAGCTTGTACATGGTACAGCTCAGACTGCAACCAGCAAATTCCTAGCCCCATGTACTCCCCCTGTGGCACGGTTCCTCTGCGACTCACCGGAACGTTTCAGAGCAACCCCTCCACGGACCCGCCAGTCAGTGGTCCAGAGGCCGCTGTCTGAGCCCCTCGTTCCCTTGACCCTGAACCTAGGAAAGCCTGCAGTTAAGCCGCCTCAAAGAGGCTCCAACAGACTCCACATGACTAGGCAAGGGGGAAGGGCACCGGCTCTGGAGCCAGACACACGCGGCTCCGTCACGTCCCATCCCCGGCAACTCTGCTCACTGGCTGTGGGACCTGGGACAAGTCACTTATCGACAGAAGGGTGTTGCGAGGCTTAGAGAGAACCTGCAGAACTGTGGCCTACAGTAGGTGCTCCGTGCATGGCAGCCGCCTCATCTTGGCAATTCGGGCCCCCACAGCGAATACTACACGGAAGCGAACGTACTACACAGCAGGCAGCCTGATCCCTCTTCTCCAGCTGCCCGGGGGTGACGGTCTGGATGTGGAGTGGCTGGTTCCTGACGTCCAGGGCAGTGGAAGAGCAGCAGCAGTGACCTTCCCAGGTAAGGCCTGCTTCGGCCCTGTGCTCCCAGCCACACTTTAGGAGTGTCCTTTGCTTGGGGTAGATACCTGGGTCTCTGTTACCATGGCAACATGGGTCTATTCACACCAGCCTGGATACAAGGTGGGCCTGGGAGAGGGAGAGAACAGTGGTGTCCAGAGGCCTCTTGGCCTTCAGGCCAGGACCCGTCAGTCCTCAGCCACATTTTGCTGCAGACAAGGCGGGCACAGGCCCCAGGGCTGAGGCACAGGTGAAGGCCAAGAGTCAAACTAGAAGTTTCTCACGCACCAGGCACATTTATAAAGCCACCCTTCCACCTGGAGCCTAGAACTGGGTGGACAGATTCCGGAGCGGCAAGGCACCAACTCCTTGTTCTTGGCTGTCCCCAGAGTCCTCCACTGCCCCTTTAACAAGGGACTTTGACACCCAAACCCTAGACACTGTTGCCTCTGTACCTCTTCCAGACAGAGCAGGCATGATCCTGCTGAACGTTGGCCTCCAGGGAACCGCAGCCGAGGACCCCGTGCCCATCGTCCATGCCCCAGGTGGCCCTGTCCTGATGCTGGAGTCGTGCCTGCTGCAGCTGGCCACACACCCCGGACGCTGGGGCGTCCATCTGCAAATTGCAGAGCCTACAGCCCTCCGGCCATCCCTGGCCTTGCTAGCACGCCTCTCCGCCCTTGGCTTCCTGCCTCGGCCTGTGTGGGTTGGGGCCACTATCTCCCATGGGAGTTTTGTGGTCCCTGGCCACGTGGACGGCAGAGAGTTGCTTACAGCTGTGGCGGAGGTCTTCCCCCACGTGACCGTGGCACCAGGCTGGCCTGCAGAGGTGCTGGGCAGTGGCTACAGGGAACAGCTGCTTACGGATATGCTGGAGCTGTGCCAGGGGCTCTGGCAACCTGTGTCCTTCCAGCTGCAGGCCAGGCCATTGGGCCAGAGCACAGCTGGAGCAGTGGCCAGGCTGCTGGCAGCCTCTCCCCGGGCCACGGTCACAGTGGAGCACAGCTCTGCCGGGGGTAACTACGCCTCTGTGAAGGCAGCGCTGCTGGCAGCAAGGGCCGTGGACAGGACCCGAGTCTACTACAGGCTGCCCCAGGGCTGCCGCGAGGACTTGCTGGCAGATGCTGGCAGGAACTGAGCACCCAGTGGTGGTGGGCCCGGGGGCCTCTGGGTGAAGGCTTCCCATGGGGGAGGCAGGGAAGAATAGATGCCTCTGCCTTCCTCCATGAGCTGCAGGTGCATCCTTGGGGGCAGCGTGGAGTGGGGGTGGGTGTGCTGTGGCCACTGAGGGCACCTAGAGGGTCTGCAGGCTGGGGGCCAGATCATTCCGGTTGTCCAGGAGGAACTTCTCGCACGCCTTGAAGGTGGTGTAGAACTCGGAGGAGAGGCCAACCACGTTGGTGGTCACATAGTTGAGAAGGCCTGGGGTGGCCTGGTTGTAGTAGGACACCTGCAGGGCAGGAGGCCGGGCTCAGCGAGGGTGTGCTGGGGAAGGGCTTGGGGGCAGAGCAGGTGGGCAGAGGGCAGGGGCGGGTCCACCTTGCTTGCCTTCTGGGAGGACAGCAAACAGCCCAGCTCCCTGGGGTCTTGGGACATCACACGATCGCAGGCAAAACCCCCTCCAGCAGATTTCCCCCTGGCTTTCCTGTCACTGCACACCGCGTGCCCCACTAGCTGGGAGGCCCGAGGCAGGGACTGGCTGTCCAGAGCCCAGCACCAAACCCTGTTTAAAGTGAAGGTGCTCTGGGGCCACAGAGATATAAGCCAGGGCTGGCTCTGAGGCTTTTTGGTTTAGGAGTATGAATTCAGCAAACATGGGCCGAGGCCCCACGAGCCTCCGGGCCAGGCCTGGGGCAGCAGGGCCCCAGTAGGGGCTGTGAGCGAGCCCCTCTGTCGGCCTCCTCCCCACGTTTTCAATTAACACTCACCACCCTTCGGAGTTTTATGGGCCCTCAGAGCCATATAAAGCCTTCCTAGACAAGAGGGGTATGCGAGTAAATAAATGATGAGATGGAATTTTAGATCAGAACCCAGGCCTTCCGCTCTCAGCATCCAGAGCTTTTTTCCAAGACTAAGCGGCGGCCTCTGACTGTCTCTGCACAGCTTAGGTCTTAACAAAGGCTCATTTTCAGCCCCTGACACTCTTAGGCTCCCCCAAACTGAAGGGGGAGCCTGCTGGGAGGGGTCTCTGGTCTGGACAGCACTGAGCTCAATGCACACAGGGCATCGGGGTGGAGCCAGGCTAGGCGAGTGGGGACAGGCCTCACCTTGGTTAGCTGGTCCCCCTCACGCCAGAGACAGAAGCCCGAGCAGAGCGTCTCCCCACGTCTGTACTCCGGTGTCTCTCGGTGTGTGGGCAGCGTGACCGATCTCAGAGCAATGACATAGGGGTCCCTGGAGAGGAGGAAGGGCAGGAAGGGGCGGGATCACCCCAGAAGGAGGTGAGGGCCTGTTCTGCCCAGCCAGGGCCCAGACCCTGCCCCCGTCCCCAGCTTCAGCCACCAGGGCAGGGATGGCCCTGCTTTAGGGTATGAGTGGCCAGAGGGGAAGTGTGTACTCTTTTCTCTCACCCACAGTGAATCCACAGCAGCCCAGCAAAGTCTGGCAGTGGCCGGGGTCCCACAGCCCTTGGGGAGCAGAGCTCCACCTCCAAGCGATGCCCCTCCCTGGGGCACTCCACCCTTCTGTGTTCCCTGGCAGGCAGGCACCCACCCGCTGTCACAAGGCTTCCGCCGTGAGGCCAGGATCACGAAGTCCTGGGGCTTGGCTTCGCCACCAAGGGCAGGGCTGATGACATGGTAGATGGCATCGTCCTCGTCCACCTGCTGCAACAGCTCTGCGCTCCTGTGGGGAGGTGGCAGCTCCCTATGAGCAGCAGGTCTGCCCAGGCCCTGCCAAGCTCAGCCCCCTGCAGCTTCTGTGGTGGGCACGTCTCCTGTGCTGCTCAACAGCAACCAGCAAGGGGCACCAGGGCCCAGCCCAGAGGGACACACATGTGTGCACATGGGCATGCACGCACGTGCACATGCAAACAAACGAGCACATACAGACACAGGAACAAAGACATGCACAGATATGTGCACGTGTTGTCATACATACTCAGACACATGGATAGACTCTAGTCCACACACAGAACCATATGTGTCTGTACATGTCTGCAGGCGCACACACCCCACACAGATGTGTAGCTGTGTGGTGACTTAGTAGCCGTACTTAATACTTAGTGAGCACCCACTGCATGTCTGGTGCTGTTCTACGTACTTTATATGTGTTACCTCCTTTAATCTCCATCACAGCCCCATGCGGGGGGTACTCAGTATCCACATTTTACAGATGGGGGCTGGAACTCGGGGACATAACCTGCCCACAGAGCTAATAAGGAAGCAGGGCTGGGATGTGTTCAAGCTACCAGGCCGCAGAGATGTGCCCCCAGGCCTGGGCACGAATGCGCCCAGGTACACACACACGTACACATCAACACACGCACACCTACAGGGACACCTACACAGGTACACACGACAGTGTCCAGACCCACCACGTCCTCCTTGATCTCCCAACCATACTCAGAGCCTGTTCACTTGTGTGCTGTGGGCAGAGGAGGGGGAAGGAGCTGGGGGCTCTCGTTCATATAGGCCGCTCCCCCAATATCCTACTGAGTATCAAGATTTGATCTGGCCATCGAGGCCCACACCAGCCCACCTCCTCCAGGAAGCCTGCCTACTGCATGCACATCTGCCCTCCCCTACACCAGACATCCACCGTCAAATCACCTCTCTGGCTTCTAGAAGGGCACTGCCAGCAGGCCTGGGGCCACCTAGATTGGGGCTTCTTAAAGCAACACAGCCCTTTTTGCAAGGAAACCTTAAGCAGGAAGCCCATGTATAGCGCTCTAAGCGGGCCTGCTCTGGTGAAGACAGTGGGGTAGGAAGGAGCAGGCCAGTTTGTCTAGAATCCACTCGCCAAATGACCGGCACATCGACTTTCTAAATACCCAAATCCTCCTGTGGGACCACTCAGGAATATAGACTCCTCACAGCGTCACCGTTGGAGACGACCAAAGACCTCCAAGGCTGGGGTGTCGGCAGAATAGAAAGTGACTTTAAAGGGACCTAAAAAAATACCAGCTTAAACTTCCCATATTTAACACTGAAATGTTGGCCATTTTCCTAAGAACATGTTTATCTTCCTTGACTAAATTCAAGAAGATACTCATATGAACAACTGGTAAATTTGGGGAATAAATGTATTCAAGGAATAATATATTAATATTCACAGACGCTCACTGTATTCAAAAATAACATATTCATTGGGTTGCCAGTGTAGGCTTCTAAGAAAAAAATAACATATACATGTACATATTCATAAAAAAGAAGCAGCAAACTTGGTAAATTCAGCAAATCCGCTATTCGATCCGTTGGCCTGAACCCGGGAGGGGGTCCCACCCATCCCTCGGCCTTCCAACCCACCCCAAACAGTTCCTGAACCCGCTTTGGGAACATAACTCCAGAGCACACAGTTTGAAAATCACTATCCCTGAGTGTAAATCTATATCCCACCCCCCAAGTACCTATTTTGTCTTTTAAGGGACGAGGGTCAGTCTCACTATGTTGCCCAGGCTGGAGTGCAGGGGCTATTCAGGGGCGTGACCACAGTGCACTACAGCCTCGAACTCCTGGCCTCAAGCCATCCTTCCACCTCAGCCTCCTGAGCAGCCACTGTACCTGGACAAGTACCCATTTTAGGACGGGGGAAACTGCGGCCCAGAAAGGAAGTGACTTGCCCACCGTCACGCAGCTATTTGGGACAGAAACAGGACTTAAGCTGAGGCCTTCAATTCCAATTCCAGGCTCAGTGCCTTCCAAAATACCCATGACCCTGACGCCCACCTGGCTACAGCTCACCCCCGCTCCCACCCCAGCCCAGCCCCCTAAAGCCAGCAGAGGCAGAGCAGAAGGAGGAGGTACGCTCCCCGCCCAGGCCTGAGAGCAGACCCTGCCCCGCCTGTACCCTGCCCCTCACCGGTAGTGCTTGTCCCACCCCGGCCTCTGAGACAGGTCAGAGAGCAGCTGGAAGGCCTGGGCCGCATCCACATGCACCA